TGCTGATCATGTTGGTGCTTAATAAATAACTTGTGAATACATAAGGAACTGTCTTCATAGACCAACACCTAAGGAAAGTGAATTTACAGAAAAGTTAATTGATTTGCCTATGGTAACACAGCACATCTATAAGAGAAATCAGGAACAGACCCCCATCTCCAGACTCCTATTCCTTGTCTTCAGCCATTCTTTCCCCCCATGCTTGTGAGGATCTGATTCAAAGCCCTGTGGAGTCAGTGGCAGTTGTTTGTGTGGTAGCATGGTAGCTGTAAGACAGGAAGGCAAGGCACTTTGTTGTGTGTGTTTTACTTTTACCTTGGCAGTGTCCCTTTAACGCTGCATAGATAGGCAAGACTAAAATATCTTCTCTCCCTTGCTACAGCTTCTGATCTCTCCACCCATATCCCTTCTATGAAGCACAGTAATGCAAGTCCTGTTGTAAAACCCCCGTGTAAGAGAAGCAGTCATATGTAGCGATACGATCTAGAGATGAATGAGTTGGCGGTGGGAACTAAAATCCCCCCTAGTATTCCCCTCTCCCCCCAAAAATATCAGATTGAGGGTTTTAGCTTAATCGGGGAGAGATTGCTGCGTTGGGCCACCAGCCGCTACACAGTACACTGGCAGCGCGGGAGTTTAATGGGCGGACTGGAGCGGTTCTTCTCCTGGGGCACACTTCGTGGAGTGGAGCTCAACCCACCCAATTCGGGAAACAGCTCTTGCCCGGCCCCTGCGAATCAATGCAGCCTAGTAGGGAACCCGCCTCTTTGGACTCGTCCCTGCTTCCTCCCCAAATCCATAAAGCGGGAGATTTTTTCCAAGCTGACTCACACGCCTCATGTCAGTCCTGTCACATCCAGCGCTGCAAGCTGTTGCTTGAGCCGTGGCTGCTTTGCTCCAGCCACCCGCCCCCTCTGCTCTGGGTGGCTGGCGGGCGGGGGCGGAGTCCGGGGAGACCACGCCCCCGCGGGCACGCCTACCCCTCCGCTCCCCCGGCGCACAGGGACCGCAATGATTTAGAAGTTCAGGAATCCCACGTGACGTCACCGAGGGTGATGTAATGCTTCTCTAAATAGAACGTATTGTAACCTTCCCTCAGTCCAACGTGGTTCCTTCACCCAAGCTGCTGGTCCTTTCCCTTCTACACTTGTTTGGTAAGTTCCTCTAAATCTTGCTCTGACTTTATGAAACTCACTTTTCAGTGCATTTAAAGTCTCGCTTCCTGGACGCGTTAAAGTACTTGTGTGCATAGGACTGAGCGGCTAGGGACTGGGAGCGTGTGTGAATTAACTGGGGAGAAAAGGGGGGAGGATTTAAAGTTAGGGGGGAGACATCTCATTCATTGCAAAGAGGTTTATTGTGTTGGGGGTGGTTTGAAACAGTAGCTTTTTGCTACTAAGCCTGGGACTGTTTAGTTTGTTTTCAATGTATGATAGTACTCATTTGAGATTCCCCCCTCCCTTTCCAGGAGGCGCTTTAGTGGCTGCGATGTTTGATCAGTGAGATGCTTCTGTGAAGATGGCTTTTTGAACGTGTGTGTGTATCGCTCATTCCTCTCAGTGACTGGCCGGGTGGTGGGGGTGGCGGTGGGGGCACCGGAAAAGTTGCTGAAGCAGCAAGAAGCGCAGTGAGCAGTCGGAGCGAGCGAGGGCAGCAACTTTGCGATTCCTCTGTTCAGTACACCAAGCAAACAGTTGGAAAGTTTTGAAACTCTCTCGCTGTGTATGTGCGTGTGTTGAAACAAGAGCTAGCGAAGTCATTAGTATGCTGCCGGGACCGTAAGCGTGTGTATGCATGTGTGTCCGAGAACCGCTGAGATGTAACTGCTGCTGCCATCTCCCGCTGTCTGCACGGAGCATGTAGGTACAGACTGTGGCAAATTCAGTGTCATTCTTGCTGTAGCTCTTTCGGGAGAGGATTTTTTTAACTAGACACAGAAGTCTGAAAGGCTGATGCTCCCCCCCCCCCCCCCCCCTTCCCTTTTCTTTCTTGCCGCTGCTGTAATTACAGCTCTTTGGTTCCTAGAACTGCTCTCAGAAGTCTCCCTGTCTTCGTGAAGCTTTCGCTTTCTTCTTATCTGAACTAGATTCCAATCGCTGCAACTTTGATTTAAGTTTTGGAAAAGGCTTCTTAATCCAGAGCACCAGAGGCTCAACTGCCTACCGGTTGCTGGTTCACGTGTATGTATTGTTTCTTAAATGTAATTACAGCTCTTTGGTTCCTAGAACTGCTCTCAGAAGTCTCCCTGTCTTCGTGAAGCTTTCGCTTTCTTCTTATCTGAACTAGATTCCAATCGCTGCAACTTTGATTTAAGTTTTGGAAAAGGCTTCTTAATCCAGAGCACCAGAGGCTCAACTGCCTACCGGTTGCTGGTTCACGTGTATGTATTGTTTCTTAAATGGACTTTTATTGGTGACTGCACAACATACTGATCTTCCCACCTCCCCTTCCTCAGCTCCAGTCCCCACATGATGCCTATTGTTATGGCTCAGGACTGGAGTGGGCTGTGTGTATATTTTTTTGTTAGGTGGCTGCATCGCTATGTATTACGTCATTCTGCAGACTAGTAAGTGTTTGATTAACAGCCTTAGATACTGAAGGGTTCAGGGGGTTAGAAGTGCTGACAAAGCAACTCTCCCTTTTACAGTCCCCACTGGCTAAGCACATCTTTTTTAAGCCCCCCCCCCCAATTCAATCCATATCTCCTTTATTACTCCTGTGATTTAGGCTTCTCTCTCCTTCTCTTTAGATAACTTTTGTCCTTCCAGAATTGTAAAGGGTTCTGGAATGTAATGGGAATACCTGCTAAACCCTGCCCTTTCTGTTATTTATGTCCAGGCATGAGTGAGCCGTCATCTCCCGGCTTTATTATAAATGTTGCAGTCTGAAAGAGAGAAGTGGTTCAAAGTGGATATTAATTCAATAAAATGATGGTCCACATGTGTGTCTTGTACAATTAAAATGTCTAAAGAGTACTTACTTAACACAGTATGACCAGAGGATTTCTGTATTTTATCAATAGGAAACAATATACAGACAGATGGAAACAGATGTTAGACCAAAGGACAATAAGAGTTCTTGGGTTTTCCTTGAGACCATACGTTTCAAAGATAACTCTTCTTCTAGTTGCACCAGAGTTCCTTTGCCTGGCCATTTGGAGAAAATATAGTGTGTCAAATAACAGTGGAGGAAGAATTTTCTTCTGAAACTGTCAAGTAGAAATAATCCAGAAACCAGACTGTAAAGTTTTTTTTTTTTAATAAATTGTTTCTAGAGTTACAGGGTGAGAACAAAATCAAAGAAAATCTATACTTTGACACAGTTTGTGGGAATTTGTTCTGAAGTAGATACGCTTTGGTAGAATATTAAAAAAAATCTGTAGAAAATGTACAAGTTTGAATGCCCCCTTTGGCATGTCTTTGGATGAAGTCAGCATTACAATGTTAAAAATACTTTTAAAATGTTAAACTTCTCATTTGTTACTCCTTAGTCCTAAAGGGAGCAGTGCAGGTTGCAAAGCATCAGAAAAAAGTGTGGTTAACGATCAGTGATTAGTGATAAGTGATTAGTGGTTTTATTCAAACTGTTACCTCTGACCAGAAGCACACATCAGAGGATTAACAGGCTCTTTAGATAAATGCTCATTAGTGGAAGGAGAAAAACGAAGATAATAGGCATGCACACAGGGACAACTTTCGAGGAAAATCATTCCTGTCTCTGGAATAATAAGCTCTATTAGCAGAAAGCCTCTTTAAATTAAAAGTTGCTTTTATCTTGTAAATCAAAGTTAGATGTAGAAGGTCACTCTGCTATTATAAGCTAAATTTTCCCATATCCACTAGATGTGGATTATCCCAGTTGTGATATTTATTTAAATAAACAATTGAATCTTTAAAGAAACTGAAAATTCTCAAGTGCCAAAGTCCTGTATTTTAAGGTATCCACTTCAAACATAGAAAGGGAAGCCTGCTGTCAGCTAACTAGATGGCGTAGTACTGTTCTCTGTGAACATACAGTTCTGGATTATAAACCAAGCAAGTTGCTGCTTGCTAGATGTCCTTCAACACTTTCTACAAAGTTGATTTTGTGCTGGTTTGGAGGTTAGACAGTTCTACAAGTTTTTAGTCACTTTTTCCATGTCAGTTAATCTAGTGAGTTAAAGGCTACTGGAAATATTAATCTAATTATAAAAAGAAACTGTTAGAGGCAAACAGAACTAGTTGGCTCAACTAGCTCTTGATTGAAATAGTGATCGTAAAGTACGAAACCTGTCTTCTACTGGTTTAATAAAATAACATTCTGATGTTCTAATCTTAAATACAAACATATTGAAATACACAGTAACATCTTTCCCCGGCTACCACTAGCAACCGGAGTTTTTTTTTTTTAAAGTCACTAGGAAAGAGAAAAGTTGACTTAGTGACTGAACAAAACAACTCGTCCTGATTTTACTCTACAGATAATGGTAAGAAGTCTCATATTTTCCTGTTAATTGATCTTTAACTATTGATAAAAAGGGATAATATGTCAGTTTTGTTCATGCACAGTTTGTAAAGAATTAGTGTCTATTATTCTCCATAGAATTTGTAATGTTTGTTGTCTCTGTTTATAGCTAGATTATCAAGCTTCCAAAACTTAAATGTTTACATGTACACGCTTACCATGGAATAGGAAATTGAAATGCTAAAAATATGAATCCAGCAAATTGGAATGGTCTTACTGTAACTTTAAATGGACAGTTACAAGCGGTCAGTTAGCATTTTATGCGACAAAGAGGTTTTTTTCTAAAGACAAAGATATTTCTTGATATGTGGTTGAAAGTAACTTGGTCTACTTGGAAGGATAGTAAGCTTTGCCTTGGACTAATGAATATTGGGTGCCGTTTATTCTAGACACTTAAAAATATGTACTTCTGTCCCCAGATCTTAACATATATTAAAAACAAATTGCAACCAGAAAACCAAATAAATATCAATTGATAATCTAGGCTGTATTTACAGAAACCCAACTCTCAGAACAAGGGAAGGTCTGATCTCTTTATTCAACCTACGGGAAAAGAAAGGGAAGAAAAAGCATTACAGCTAAAAGAGAAGGTAAAATGGGAAGAGGTTGTGTCCATAATCCTGCTCACCTTATGATGCAGTGGGGCTACTTGCCTGAATAATGGAAGGAAGATTTGGCCCCGTGTGTATACATTTTGAATTAATTGGCTTACTGTAGTTTATAGAAGAAGCTCTGAAGTATCCTGAAATTCCCTGAGGTTCTTACTCTTCAAAGGGATCTTCCATGTGATATTGCATGTGAGACCTAGAGTCCAGTAACGATGGACCTCGCATTAACTTCAGACAGTTCTTAGGGCCCAATCCTTCTGTCCTCCCTCAAGCAAACCTTTATGGATATCAGTGAGATTTTGTAGAAGGATTTGGTCTTAAATGATTAACAGGGCTATTTCAGATACTTTTTACTTCCTTCTGGGACCCCAGGTAAGATGTGCCGATCTTTTGACTACATTCTTTTTTCATAAAAGATTTTTTCCCTAGAAATCTGTCACTTAGTATTTTTTCTAGTTAGCAACCCTGCAGACCTGTTGCTTTGATTTATTAATAAACCTTCTGTGTATGGATTGGCCACCCTTAAAGTTTTATTTTAATTCAAAATGAACTTTTTTTTGTGTATATCCCTCTGCATACATCAAATTAATTTACCTTTTTTTTTTGAATAACAGGATAAAATTGCCATCTATTTAAAGTAGAGTTGAGTTACTAAGGTCTGTATCTTGTGACCTCTACTTTAACAACATGTGAATTGTTCCTTACTAGAGACTAAACAGAATCTAGCTTTAACTGTTTGCTACATATATATCTTTCAGTTGACCAAGTTGTTTGAGACCTGAACCCGTTAACGGCAGAGAGCAACAGGTCTTTCTGTTATGCATAAATCTCTGTTTCTGTGTTGACTAAATGAACTTGTATATAACTGACTTGAATTTTGTTTGGGCTAACTTTTTACATATAAACTTTTATCACAATAAACTGGATTTCTTTTAGTGGAAACACTGAAAATATTTTTGAGATTCACACTCTTGCTGACTTAGATATTGTCCTGGTTGATCAATTGCCTAGCTGTCTAAGTGGCCATTCTATTATATCCAAACACATTATTCTGCAGGTTGTTTTTCTCTGACAAAGGGTAGTATGTCATGTAACCTGTGCTACTTGTCTCTGAGACAGTTAGTTTGCAAAGTAAAATGTAAATACTATAAGATACAGGCAAGTAGTTCTTTGTTACAGATGTAGTCGAAGAGTTCTTTGTTTTAAGGAACTATGGATTTTTTTGTGCTTTTTAAAAGCATTATTATAATAAACAGTCACAAAATTAATGCAACTTTAGCTTCTAGTAACTTTCAGACTTAAGCTCCAGCACAACTTTCCCTCTCACTACAAACTGCATTGTTGCATCAATTTAAAATCTTTAAAAGATTGTTCTTTAAGCAATTATCTCTATTTCTTTTTTCATCTAATTTGAATATTAACCATGTTACAGGGGTAAGATCAGTACTTTTACAGGTTTGTGATACATTTGACATGCTTATATATAATATACATATATTTCTAGTGAATGTCTCAAATTCCATTGCTGTAAAAATAAATATAGGCATACACTGATATACACAATGTGTATATATAATAATTGTTGTAAGAACACTTGCTGAACCAAAAATACCATAGTATATTGTTTTTGATTTACCTGTGCTATGGCACTTTAAAAATAATAGCATGTCTAGTGTTTTCACTAACGTTATTTTAGTGCAGAATTTAAAATATTGGCATTCTGCATTTTTATTACCCATCAAAGCTTCATTAATGGGAGCTGGGTTTAGAGATTTTAGAAAAAGAGGTGGCTGTATCTGTTTTTGTAGATTTCAAGATAGTGATAAAAATACTGTTTTATAAATGAGAAGAGATTGACTTAGGATTTTACTGAAGGCTGTAGGATTTTCACAGTAAAACATTCAAAGCTTAGTATAATATCCGTAGCTTACTAAATGTTATGCTTTGATTTTTGTTTCTGCCTTCTTTTTTGAGACTCCATTCAAGAAGTCAGTCTCACACGTGCTTCAAAATAAATATTTCTGAAAGTTACATGGTATTTGTTTCATTTTCCTATTTAGAATCTCATATTTTAAGTTATTTAGGACTTGTTATCATGACAGCATTCTGCTCAAGGTGATATTAGATGTGGCAATATAATCCTTCACAGTAAGGGGATTCCAGTAGCCTGATTAAAAATTACCAGAATGCTCTTAGAGGGGAGGTCCGAAGAGAAAGCCAAGAGTATGGGAATTTCAGTTTCAGTTAGAAAACAATCCCCAAATGCTGTAATAACTTTAACAGAATAAGGGCCTTATTTTGCTTTTCTTGGATACCGGAAACTCCCATTGAATTTAGCCTCAGAAGGGTAGCTATGTTAGTCTATATTGGCAAAAAAACAACAAGGAGTCTTGTGATGTCTTAAAGTCTAGCAGATTTATTTGGGCATAAGCTTTTATGGGTAAAAACCACTTCATCATATCCTTGTTGTTTTATTGATTTCGGTGGAGTTCTGGTTACTTTTGTATCTTGTGCTTTTATGCATACCTTGTCCATTTGACAATCAGTCATTAATATATATTTGATTTCCTACTTCTGAATACGTTTTAAATAATAATTGTTTCCATTTCTATTTCTTTGCTGCCTTTCTGCAAGCAATGTTTGCTAATACTGCCATCCTATATTGCCCTTCATTTCAATTCTTTTCCTTCCCATGGATTTTGCATCTCTGGTATACACCATTTCAGTGGTGACCCCAACAATTACTGATGTTTGAAGTTTCCCAATTAGGAGTCCACGGTACTGAGGTTACTCTGTTTGACTCAGTGACATTTTATGTGTGTGTGTGATTGGGTAGGAAACAAAGGGCTTCAGAGAAATTATTTAATTAAGTTGAAAAATCTTTTTTTCTTACCGTTTGACAGTGGCAGCCTATTTACCTGTTGCTATATAGGCGCATGGTCACCAGGATACCATTGCTGCACATTGTGTGTGATATGGCATCATTTATAGTCTGCTGCTTTATAACTGGTCACAAGTATTTAGAAATTCATTTGACTAATGTGGGAAATAAATAGGGGCCAGCAGTTCCCAGATTTTTGTTCTTCAATACCTGACTGGCAAGACTTGAGTAATGGTGACTAATATAAAACATTCAACGCAGGGGGCTCTGGAGCACAATAACTTGAATTTAAGATTAGATGGAGCCTATGTTGCATGAAGTGGCTCTAACAGGATGAGTTAAACTGTAGCATTACCTTGAGTACTCAAGTAAACTAACTAGTATATGTGTTTGTTCATATTGCTCTTGCTACTTCTTCCCCCTTAAAAAGTTTGTAAGTGACCATTTAGATCACTTATCAGTTATAGAATATGGATGTGTGGCATTTAGACAGTTACACATCCATATAACAGTATTTTACCTAATTAAGCAGCAAGATACTGCAAGGTGTGAATTATTGCATTAATTTTATTAATTAATACTCTGTATTTTGGGCATTGAAGTTACAAACCAATTGCCATTAGTGTTAGGAAGTGTGAATTGGCACACCATTATTCACATTTGAGTCTTTATGACAACTATATAATTATATTTTAAATGGTATTTATATTTACACATTGAAGTTCATACATTGTGAGTAGCAAATCATGGTGTATTTATAATAACCACTCAGAATTATTTTTAGTCAGTCAGATCGCTCCCAGTGAAGTCAAAGGGTGTAATTGTCACTAAACTCAAATGGGAGTAGGTGCAAGCTATTAAGGGTGACCTGTAAAAGGCGTTATGGACATGTAAATATGTGTGTTTCGATATAAAAAGTCTGGGAGGGTTTTGTATATTAGAAATTCAAATCTTATCTATCTTGGAACAAACTGTGGTAACTAGAGAAATAGCAAAATTAAGATATATAAAGAAAGTGAACACTGAGCAGTTGAGAAGGGAATGGACTTTTAGTCCGATTGTTTAGAAATATTTCTTTTTGTTGCTGTCCCCCTCTAACCATTTAGCTTCAGCGCTTAATGAATATTTGAGGAAAAATTCATCTTTGTTAAAGATTCAGCATTCACACAAATTCAAAAAAATTCCCGCAAGTCTAGAGACTTCTCTTGGTGTCCAGGTAATCTAGCAAGATTAGGAAGGACTACATTTTATAATTTCATCCTGTAAAAAAATAAGATGGGGAATTCTTACTCCCTTGTCCCCAAAAGCGCATGTGCGCATGCACACATATCCTGTGTGTATATCATTTTAAATGAATACGCAGTACAAAAGGGTTAAAAGAACAGATTAAAATATTAGGAAGCTCAAAACTAGACCAACTTTTAAACATTCTGTTATCTGTCTTTCATTACCCAGCCTTAATAAATTAGTGTGTACACATGAGACGAAAAGAAAAACAATTTAGCAAGGAAGCAGATTTTAATTTCAAGTGTGCAAAGTAGTGATGGGCAGCCTAGGCTTGTGAATGGGCTGCAGACCCGCCGATGGGGGCAGATAGGCAAAAGGGGTAGTTGCCCCAGGGCCCAGCGATTCAAAGGGGTCCAGGGCTCCTTACAGCCACCGCTGCTACTGTGGCGGCATTAGTGGCTGGAGCCCCGGGCCCTTCAAATTGCTACTTAGAGCATCACACCGTGCAAAAGGCCGGGGGTATATGTGCCTCAGTTTAGGCAGCACTGAGGGCTGGCTGCCCCAGCTCCACCTCTTCTGCCCAAAGCCCCGCTTCTTCCAGGAGTGTAGAGCACTTCTCCCCCGCTTTAGCCAGACTGTCAGCTTCCCTGGTGGGCTGCATGAGTGGCCCTCCTTCATCTCAGTGGGCTGCAAGATTGTTGTAACCAAGATAGTCTCCTGGGATAGGGTCATTTTGCTAACTGCACTTGCGTACTTTGTATTTGCACTTTGATTGGATGCAGAGTGAGCGCACAGCTCTCACAGTCAATGCTGTGTGCAATCAGCACCCATCTCACTTCATGTACTTTTGCTTTACATGCTTGTCACTTTAGTA